CAAAGAATCCTTGACAGTGTGACCTACGGCAACTGTCACAGCGCACACCGCATATCTGCACTGATGTGCTGAGAAATTATATTACATCTTCTGTGCCAGGAGCAGCTCGGTTTTCACGCACGCTTCGCGCATGGAAGCGCTTCACACGCCTCACTCATCATGAAAGAGCGACGTGGCGGTGTGTTATTTTCGAGGTGTGCTTGAACTAACACGGCAGAAATTGAAAAATCCACCGCCCGGCCCCGCGCCCCGCACCCCGCCCCCGCGGCGATGCAGAGATCAATAACAGAGCAGGAGCCTTTGACCCGCCGATAACGGTGTACATCTGGAAGGGCTCTTTGACTTCCAGAACGGCCTAATCGGGGTGTTTGACTCCAAACGCTCAGCGTTTATGAATATCTGATGAGCTCCGGGGTGAGCTTATGAATAAGTGAGGGGGACCAGCTGTGCAACAACAACAAAAAATATATATATATGAGAAAAAAATCAAGACTTCAATAAAGTTACCATCACTGAGGAACATATGGAGGAAAGGAGCAAGACATCACATGCAGGTGCATCTCAATCAATTAGAATAAGAAACATTTATTTCACTAATCCGGTTTTTAAAAAAAAAGTTAAACGAAACACATAGAAATACATATTCTGAGCACTTACTTATGCTGGAAATGGAGAAGACACTGACGGACACGACAGACACTGACACGAACCAAAAGGGTGAGCCACAAACTCTCAATGCAGAGGATGACTGTTCGAAAGTGACGCTTCAGAGCATATCAGTGGGAAAGTTGAGCGAAAGGAAAAACTGCCACAAAAACAACCGATCGACAACAAATGTCACATCAGGAAACTCATTGTATGTCAAAATTAAGTGGAAAAACTATCTGAAGTGTAACACTCTCCGTGTAGTGATATGAGAGGTACAACTCTAAGCTACTTTATTGAGATGAGCCATGTGTACATTTTGTGCTACCACACCAAAAATGTTTGTTCAGCAGATCTACTGACAGTATGACTTACAGCTTTTGACTGCCTTACACACCTACTGAAATAAAATCTATTTCCTTTTCATCTCTGCAACATTTCTAAAGCAAACAAAGTAAGACCTAAAATCAAAGGTTTGGATTTTATTAACAGACGCAATTATACGTTTTCAGCCTGACCTTGGTAAATGCGGTAAGGAGAGAGAGAGAGAGAGAGAGAGAGAGAGAGAGAGAGAGAGAGAGAGAGAGAGAGAGAAACGAACACTCCCTGGGTGCGTTTGTGAAAAGGTTGAAAGAATAGAAGGATCAGGAAGGGGGGGCAGGCAAACAGTATGCCTGCGTTGTCTTTGTGTGTGTTCGTCCCCCAGGAAGCAAAAAGGCAAAGGTGGATACTCGCGAGCGAGCATTTATGTGCAGCTGCACTGGAGGGCGACTGTTCGAGGACACTCTCTGAACATCAGTCAACGGGAAGCGAGTCGGAGGGCAGAAAAAGGCAAAAATCAAAAAAAAAAAAAAAAAGGAAAGGGACCTTCGGCTTTGTCTGCATGCAAAGCAACGGCAGTCAAACGTATTGAAGCAGAAAAACAACAACAACCACAACAAAAAGAAGCACCTATTTGATTCGACTTCTGTGACGGCTAAAAAGTTGTAAAGGCTTGAGATTTGACGCAAAGGAGAAAAAAAGAGAACGCCGACACAGACGCTTTTCACCGTCCTCTAAAAACAACTGCAGCTGGAACTCCCTCTTACATTTCTGTGTCACTAATGATCCCTGTGTTAGCAATAAGCACCACAGCAAGCTATCTGCTAACTTTTGTTCTACTTCGTTTCCCCATAGTTTCCTAATTTCATAAAGGAGGCCTCACACAGAGCAAAGCAGCGCTGTGTGAACTCTGACTACAGCACATGTAGGGGAGCGCTAATGACTACAGTTAGCTTTGTGTGTGAGGCTGTAGCAATTTGCCAATATTTGCCCTAATCTTCAATGATTGCATTTTTCTGAGACTAAGCGTGCGCTTTCTTGGTGAACACAGAGACTTTACAGCCGCGATTCGTGATTTTTGAAAATATTTATAGTCGGGATAAAAAGCCACCCTGCTGGCTACCAGATTCCAGATAACGCTGCTTTCTGGAAAGCATGAGAATTGAAAAAATGCACGCCGTCCATGACTTCCAAACAAACTTCCACCGTTTTGCCATCTGCAATCGCAAGGACCTACGTGGAGGGAGCAGTTTGAGCCCATCCCTCTGCAGATACCGAGCTCCAGTGGAGAATGCCGTTTCTCTTGGATGGAGGGCAGATTCTCAAACTGTCCTAAATTATTTTCTCCAGCAAATATCATCTGCTTCTTCGGGATTCTTCACCGTTTCCCTTCAAAAGATTTTGAAAACGACATTAGGTGCGTTCACACTGCAGCCTGAAGTGACTCAATTCCGAATTTTTTTGACGTAATGCGACCTGTATCCGATCTTTTCATGGCAGTGTGAACAGCACAGGTCGGATTCTTTTTCGAATGTGACCCATATCCGATACGTATCCGATTCAAATGCGACCTAACGTCCAGGTCGCATTCATCCGAACTGAACGTCACTGATACTCAACAAATCTCACTATTCTGCGTCCTGATAAGCGCAAGTGGGAAGAAAAACAACAACCATGACGGACTATATGAAAATTAAGTTGTTAATATGCTGCTCCGGCCGATAACTTCAAATATGTAAGCTAAGCTCCACCGTTAGCCTCCATGTTTACTTCCGCAAACACTGAGCACTTCTTCTTTTTATGGCAGTTGCCAGAACACTTAGAACGCTGACGCTATTGCGCCCTCTACTGCGCATGCGGGACACTTCAGGTCGTTTGCCCGTTTACACTGCAGAACGCATACAGGTCGCATTTACTGGCAGTGTGAACGGCCCCGGCAAAAAAATCGGAATTGAGTCACTTCAGGCTGCAGTGTGAACTCACCCATTGTGGTACATGTCTGGTGAGCAAAAACAAAAAAATGACATACAGACACTTGCAGAAGTATTCCTATCCTTTGACCTTTCTCTCAAGGTGTCACAACACAACTATGAACTTCAGCGTATTTTGTGCAACAAACCAACACAAATGAATCCATAACTTTGAATATTCTCCAGATCTCAGACTTGGGTTTGAGCTTTGACTGGACCATTTCACCAGCTGTATGTTTAGGTGTGATGTTGTGACTGCGAGACTATCCTCTCGCCCGTTTCTCAAGTCTTTTGCTTTCTCTCGCAGATTTTCTTCCTGTTTTCCCCTGTATTTAACTCCATCCAACTTCCCATGAAATCTATCCAGCTGAAGAGAAAAATGGTGGCATGATGCTGCCACCACCACCGTGTGTCACAGTGGGGATGGCATTCTTGATGGTCTTATGTAGAGCAAATGTCTTGCCAACAGAGATCCCACCTGAGCTGTGGTTGTTTGCATCTCCTTCAGGGTCGTCATAGGACTCTGGACTGATTGTTTCTTTGCCAGACCTAAAACTTTAGGTGGAAGTCCAAATCTGACAAAGGTTTAAAGTTACCTGATGCTTTTTGTCTTGGCCTATCACCTAAAATTCTAAAAAACAAACAAACAAAAAAAATATATTGAGGTTTATGGTTGCTGTGTGACCAAATGTACAAATGTTCAAGGAGGGTGAATACTTTAGGAAGTTGCTGCAACTTCAACTTTAGGATTTATTTATGCCATTAGATTTTGCTCTGTATATACAATGTACGAGCCTACTCTGTATACAGTATGCTATTTTTGGACCTGTTTGTTTTCCAGTTTATGCTATTTTAATTCCGAGAGCGGATTTGACTGACAGGGCTGATCATGGTCGCAATCTGACAGTCTGCTGGTGGCTGTCTCAGTTGAGTCACTTAAAAAGGATAGCTAAAGCTAAAAAGTGCTTTTTCATATTTCCAATCCTACTGTAAACATGAAATTTTACATGCCACTTGAAAAATAAATAAGTAAATACCATCCACAAGTACACATCAAGGCCAAATCTTGAGCATAGGGTCAGTGTTCTTCCAAGTTCCTAGCCAATAAGTCACTCAGTTACTCCCTAAGGGTAAATCAATCTTTTCTTTTTTTTTTGGTCTTGAGAATACGTCTGACTTGTGACAACCACGCAGATCTGCCATTACAAGTGTGACATCTCAATCTTTTGCAAGGGAGGATATGAATCTTTAAGCCATTTGAATATCACTCGCTAAGCTCTGGTGGAAAAGCCTCTGCACTTAGGCTTAGCACTCTCAAGACAGCTACTCCTTGTTAAGAGTCGCCTCAGACTCCTCCACTATGAATGGGACCATTACCCTCATCGCTTACTGCACAACCACTCACACACGCACACACGCACACACACACACACACACACACACACGCATATGAACACGCATATGCATCTATGCATATCTTTCTCTCAACTGGGGCAAACTGAATGCGTTCAGAAGAGCTGCGAGCCAAACGCGCACGGCGAATCAGTGCGCCAGTTGTCTGTATAGCTTCTAAACAATTCCGGATGAGTTCTGGCTCCCTGCTGTGCCCCTTTTCCGCTTCCCTTAAAGAACGCAGGGCAAGATGGAGATATCTTATAGAAAAGCTCATCTACATGAGAAAAGGGACGTAAGTGGGAATTGTAAATTCTTCATGATGCAGCGCTGGGTTAATTTACAATAGGATAAAAGGATCAAAAATGACAAGAAAGGGGGGGGGGGTTAATTTAATGCGGGACGACTTATGTTGCTCCTTTGATCAGACAAGTCTGATGTTTCCAAATAAAAAGAAAAAAAAAATCTGCTACGTCCTCTGCTGCTAGATCCCAACGCCAGAAAGCCCACCTCACCTGATGCAACGATAAGCGTGAATTAGAGACGTTTCTGTCTGTTTGTGGTGCTGACTACCGTCCAACGCCCCTATGGGAAACCTGTAGCCCAGTATGTGGTGTGTGTGCTTCCTATGACTTAGCGGGTTCTTAACCTCCTTTCAGTGTTTGCCCCTACCATTTTCCATGTGCTCTGCCTCACCGACACTGCCATCCGGCGTTGTCCTCTCGTAGCTGTCCTCGGGCAGGGGGAGGGCGCCCAGCCGGGGGCCCGAAGAGCTCTTGCTGCTGGGTGTCTCGGATTCATCCAGGCCGCTGTCGTAGCAGCTCTGCAGCGATCCCTGCTGGTGAGGGTCCTGGGGCTGGCTCACCACCGAGAAGGTCACTCGACGAAACGGCTACAAGAGAAACCAAACGTCCGGGGGTCACTATAATAGGGACTGTTTTTAGCTGTGTTTGTCTTTTTTTAGTGAGATATGATTTTTGGGAAGTTGGGGCCGCTGAAAATCAGACATGGGCTTTTCAGGAGCGGGATGCCAGGAATCTGGGGGATAAGAGGGGGTCAAAGGAGGCGCAAAAATGTATAGGCTAGATTTTAATGGGAGGCTATTAATGATTAAAAGTACAGATAAGCTGGCCTAAAAAATAATAACAAATGTCCTGATTTCCACAGGAATCGACTAAGACAGCTGACTTTTAACCAAAAACCTTAGCAATAAACTTTCCCCTCACCCCCAAACTAAGCCAAGCTAAACCTAGGCAACCGAGAAGACATGGAGGCTAATGAGCTCAGTGTTTTTATCAAACTAATTTGCCCACTGAAAGGAAGAAGAAAGACCTGATTTGAAAGCAGAAAGCGAAACCACAAGTCTAACCCCGGAGGCGTACAAACAGGCAGAGCCACTTGTTGCCACGTTACCACACAAAAAGGTCCAGCTAGGTAAGAGGTAGGTTCAAGCTGTCATTGCATGCGGTCTGGTTGAGCACATTACTGAACAACATCCGCTGTTAGGCACTAACAGCGTATCATCGAGACCGTGGCCTGTTCCTCACTGTCTCAGCCTGCTTAGTTTTCTTCCTGTGTCTCTCATTTCCCTGTCAGAAGCAGCACAAAGGCAATGGCACGGAGGAATGATAGCTGGAGGAATAAGCATGAAGTGAGGAATGAAAGAACCGGTTTGGTCATTATAGCAGTAAATGGCATAACAAATTGTCGCTGCCACTCATTAATTAGACACAAACACTGTCGGAGCTCGCCTCTGCTGCCGCAAAATGTGCGAGCAACCTTGCCGGACTGCGGATCCGTCCGCTCGCAATCCTTCTCTTCCCCACTGTCATCCGTGTTTCCTTGTTCAATCACGAGAGTATTACATGGGGCAGAGGCTCATTACTCAAAAATGCTCTCCCCAGCACCATTGCACATTTGTTCCCTTAATTCTCTCACCTGAAGAAGATGAAACGGTTAGCCTCAAGTGATTGCAATTTAAATTGGTACACGGTAGATAGGTTTTCTTTGCCGTTCGCTAGATTTTGCAGGTAGAGGTGTGTTTGAAGGGACTCTCTTGAAGGGGGCCTGAAACATAAAGTTCGACCCAAAGATCTCATAACTGGCAGGAAGCGGTATATCCCTAGTTGTGGTGGCATACACCTCTCAGTCACCTTGAGAGAACTCTAGTTGGAAAAAGACGGAAAAGGGGCACAATTGGCTTGTGTGTAACTGATCTGAAAACTCTGGTAAAAGGTGAAAAAGCAAGTAAATAAAGGCATCTACTGATCTGTAAATGTTGGTAAGAAGTTGCTAGGAGCTGATCAAATCACCCTACCTTTCCAGGTATTCTTCTTGCCAAACTAAATATAAAGAATGACCCATAAGAACTATCCGCAAAAAAGGTGATCCACAGGTGCAGCTCGTTTTTTTTTTTTTGTTTTTTTTTCTAGCTTTTCTAGCTTCCTGTGGCACCTAGCTGTCCTGCAGTGCCAACTCTAGCTTGGCTGTCAACTTAAACAACATGTGAACATTTGGTTGCAGTTGATCCGAATCAACCAAAAACAGACGTACATGGACGTCCAGCATGACGCATGGAAGTTCTTTGATTTTTTTTTTTCCAACTCCATGTAGCAGATAGCTGTTCTGCAGTGCAAACACTTGCTTCGATACAAATAGGAACAATGAGAAGACAGTCCCGAACTGATGTCTATTTTCTCTGTCCTCTGTAACCATTTCAGCCAACATCAATTCTGTGTTTTCTTTCTTACTTTCGTTAGATTTAATGGTCCCTGGTAGGCTACGATGCTACGCTCTTCAGCTGTCACAAGTCGACTGTTGCTAGGGTGAGCCCCCACTAGCATGGAGACATGGAGGCTGGTATGAAAATATCAAACCACGGTCTTCTTCTACGTTTAGTTAATATAAATAGATATAGGAACATGAATTGTTCTCATCATTTGTACTCATCTAAGCTAATACTGTGTGAGCTTGTTAATGATTTTTTTTTCCCTCAGTCCAGTGGGAATTTATTTATTTTTTTAGCTCTGTGTGTGTGTGTGTGTGTGTGTGTGTGTGTGTGTGTGTGTGTGTGTGTGTGAATTTTTAATTTATTTATCTATTTCTCCCCAGTTCTGTTTCTCTGGCTGGCTGGCAAGCACGGCAATCTTGGCAATAAATCATGTTTCCTTGTAATTACAATCAACACTCAACAAATGAATTGGTATAAATATTCATGCAGATTTCACTTGGCTAGTCAAACATTTTGTTGTATAACAGAAGCGGAGGCCAGTAGGAAAAACTGATCACTATAGGTGTAATAACACTGAAAAAAAAAAAAAAGAGTTGTGATGACACAGAAACATTTTGTTTGTTTTTGTTTGGTTGTACTGTATTTCTCCAAAACATTTGTTAAGTGTGAGGTGTGTTCTAACAAATCTTCCAGCTTGTCTAAGCAGAAAAATTGGGCTTTTTTTTTTTCCCCCCCTATGACCAGATTCAATCTGTGTGACTTTGCTTTATAGGAAAAACCAATTTTTAATGAAACACATTTAAAAAAAAATGTCACTTAATGAATTGCCAGTAACTTGCAATGAAAGAAAAGTACTTGAGGTTGAGCACAATGAGGGAAAATTGAGTTTGGGGAAAAGGAAAAAGAACCTGACAAGAAGGGAGAAAAAAAAAAAGAAAAAGAAATGAACAAACAGGTTTTATTCACCTGAATTTCCTCACTTGCTTTCTCCGGAGGGAGAGCAAGAGTGAACAGAATAAAAGCGGGGGGTGGAGGGGAAGCTAATTTGTTTGCAGACCAGAAATAGGGTTCACGCAGAGATTGCCAAAGGCTTTGGATTAGAATCTGCAGCCTCGATCAACTGCAAAGCAACCTTTGATCCTTCTCTTCTTGCTCTTTTAGATAAAGGAATAACATAAAAAGACACTTTATTTCGATTTGAGATTTTATGCGAATGTCTGAGGATGTGGAATTGAGATTAGAAATAAAGCTAAATTATGTCGCTTGGCAAGCCCTATGAATTCACATGCAACTGTCAGGTTGTCATGACCGATTTGATTCTTTCAGTCCTTCTCTTGAATATTAAGGGTAAGAGACAATTTAGAAAGAGTCACACTCAAGTCATAAAAAAAAATCTTACTCTGCCATGCAGAATGAGACCTGGGAACAGGAGTTTTGCTTCCCTAAGGATGTTCAAATGTCCAAATATTAACAGACTGGGTTAATAGCTAACCGATGAGCAATTATTGTGTTATTTTGCACATAGTTGCTTACAACTCAACATATGATGGTCCTTTTTGTGAGCTTGTGAGTTTCTATTGTTAGTTTCCTATCCTTCTTCCCACCAGAGGTTTCTGCACTGCTCACACGCCGGCCATTTAAGCAACGACGCAGACCGAAACACAAGCACATCTGGACAAACTGAGACGTCATCATGACTCTATCTGATTACATTTCCGCTGAAAATAAATAAAGCCACAGATTCGGGAACTTTTACTTTTTCACCTGGACCTGATGCCGTTTCCTTTCATAGACCTTTTCTTATGTACGGCTTTCATTACTTATAAGCGCCACGCCGTTTTATGTTTACCAGATGCCAAAGCACTTCTCAGGGGTCACGAAATTTCCCTCAGACTGATGTCCAGCTGTGGCGACCAGGAGAGAGGACTGGGCAAATTCATCAAAACTGAACAATGTAAACTAGCCACAGGTTTTTCAGGGAGCTGTGGCTGAACCTCGAACCAGCCTATTTCCTGGACGCTTGAGGCAAAACACATGTGCTGCCTGTCTCACAGGTACCCGAAGCCAATAAAAACAGCGCCGCGCCAGTCGTGTCAACAGTGAATGACCTCTTGGATTTAATTTCCATTTCCCTCCCGTCCTAACAAAATGTTTGTCCTCTTTCAGCAGCTATCTGTTTTTAACCACAGCGTCTTCTTTTATCTGCTGGTGAACCTTGGAAGGCTGACACACACCGCTCACGCATGAAGCGCACTGTCTCCTTACGACGCTAGTTATGATGATTATTTGGTCTGTACAGCATGTTTGAGGTCAAGTATGTCTTGTGGCATGCCAGGCATTGCTCATCATTACCGTACAGTGCTTTTACAAAAGTATTCATACCATTTACACCTTTTTTTTTTTGCACAATCCGAAGCTTCGGGACTTTTTATTGAAATTTTGCATGCATCTCCTTATGGAAATGTAAGGATTTTTGAAGTGACAAGTAGCAAAGTTGTTGAAAAGAACAACTTTTCACAATTTACAATCGGTGGCAAAAAAAAAAAAAAAAAAAATGGAAATTGATGTTCGCAGATGCTCTTCAGCCAGTCAAACCGAGGCAGAGTTATTTTGCAAAGTAAATTGAGAAAAACGGCAACGTCTAGATGCGAAAATCTGGCAGATACATACACCAAACGACTTCCAGCTCTAATTGCAGTGAAAGCTGTTTTTTCCAAAGTGTTTCTGTACTTTTAAGATTTTTAACTCTAGAAAATGCTGAAAATTATTTATCTCCCCCCTTCACATTACAGTTGTGTGCTACATTTTGCATGCTGCGCAGAATCCCAATGAAACAAAAGAGTTTGTGGGCTAAAGTAGCTGTGTATGTGCACTGGGCGGCCTGTCGCCTGTTCTCACTTGATGCATGGCTTTATAATTAGGCCTACCTTCAACAGACCCTCCGGATGAAATGAAGGATAATGGAACTGGTATGAAAACACCGTGTGTGTAATTTCAGCTGTAAATACCTTTGGCAGATGGCAGTGACCCACTACCGTGAACCACAGGAAGTAATTGTGGCTGGGTTGGACTTGGGGCGAGAGGAGCAAACATAAACTGCAGGTCCAGTGTGTTATTGCAGTCAACCCAGAGAAATGAAGGGATGCGGAGGAGGGGAGCTT